GCATTCAGAGCCTAAATGCAGAGCACGTTTCCTTGGGTCATAGCTACTGAAGGCAAATTAACCCGGTGCCTTGGTGGTATCAGAGTGCTCCAGGGAAGAGCTTTTTCATTTTCCAGTTGTGATCTACTTAGCCTGCTCTAGGTTAATGTATTTATAGAAGTAGCCTGGTAAATCAGAGGTGGCAGTGGGGATGCTCTGGAAAGGCAAAGGGGCTTACCTGGCACTCCAGAAAAGCTGTCTGTTTTCTCTGATGCTGAGACAGTTGTATTTAATGATGACACTTCATCCGTGGTGGAGGGTGATTATCCAAGGAAAGTAGCCTTGGCATCAGCAGAAGGGGCAAGAACTCAGCTTCTCCTGAAAGAAATGCCAGCTCGTGAGAGCACAGCGCAGTTTCTCGACAACTTGTAAGAGTCTCTGTGATTTTTTTTTTTATCTCCTGCCTTTGAAGGTTAGAGTTCTGTTGCTTCACTGACATACTGTGAATATGTATTTTTGGTGAAGACTTTTAGGGCATTGCAGGCAAGTTCCACGACCAGATGGGTGACTACACTTGTCTGCTTGTGTGCAGAGACAAGCAGTGAAGCAAWAAATGATTTGTGATTTTGGTGCCTTAAACTTTACTTTTAAAGACAGGACTTTCAAACCATACCGTGAATTATGTAGGCATAGTAGCAATTCTGGAGGCATAGAGCAATTCCTGAATGTCTCAGTCTCCTGAGTTCCTGCCTAGTCTCAGAGGAGTGAGTTGAATGCACTTGCTTGAGCGCCCTGTGAGCAGATGCTTCTGCAGCAGCATCTGAGCAGTTCCCCTCCAGGCTCATCTGGGTAACTGCTCCAGGCTCRCCCATCTAACCATCTAGTTGCACTAGCAACTGGCTGGTTACGTTGCACTTGCCAATAATCCCTAGGTCAAGGGAATTCTGATTGCCCTGGATTTTCCTTCAATTATTTTGAGTAGCTTTTAAAATATGCTGTTTAATTTCTATTATTATGTCATTCTTTCACRTATTCCTACAGGATTTCCTGTAGGAATTCCTCCAACTTTCTTAGCTGGATTTCTTTGATTATGGCAATGTGGCTCCTGCATCAGGAGGAGCGTTGCCAGCAGGTGGAGGGAGGGGAACCTGGGCCTCTCCTCAGCTCTGATGAGGCTGTGCCTGSAGTATTGGGGGCAGTTCTGGGCTCCCCAGGACAAGAGGGATGTGGRGCTTGTAGAGAGGGTCCAGTGCAGAGCGACAAAGATGATTAAGGGGCTGGAGCGTGTATCACACAAGGAAAGACTAAGCAAGCTGGGCCTGTTTAGACGGGGGATTGGACTAGATGATCTCTAGAGGTCCCTTCCAACCTCRACCATTCTGTGATTCTGTGGCAATCATGCTCTAAACTCCTCTTTCAAATGGTCCTTTCCTCAGAACATTGAGAAGTACAAAGGGGAAATAGTCTTAACYTTTTTTTCTTAACCTTTGATCTTTATTTCTTATTTGGTTTCAACGCTTTATGAGCATTCATAAAACAAATGTGCTGTAAGCATGTAAAGTAATTTGATTAGTATTCATCATGTGGTCTTATTTGCAATATCAAAGTTATATGAAAGTCTTATTTATGTCCCTTTATACATGAACCTTATRTTTATTGTATTTTTTTGGACCAGTCTAAGGTATATGTTGCAGTTGGAACAGAAAGGGCAAGCTTAAAGTATTGCTTTAATCTATAGGAGCTGCATCTCATGTTCTGTTGTCACCAGGAAGATTTCCTACTCTTGCCTTTGCTGGAGATCAGTTTTGCTTTCACCAAACCATTTTCCCAACTTAAAGGTGTAGGATCGTATTTTTTTTCCAGTTGTCCTCAATCCAGACAGTGAATTGTATTAAGTACAAGGTTCAAATTTCTCAATCTGGCTCACTTATTAGGAAGTTTAAGAGGCTATGAAGAATGTTTACTGTGTGGATAATGTCATATTATTGAATTTGTTAATATTGTCTTGAGTAAACATTGCTTGTTTGTCCAATGTGAGTTATTATCCATCAGCTGGTGTTACACTGTGGTAATTCTATAAATGTGTCTCCACTKCTCAGATACCCATTTTCAGGAAAACATCAGACTTCCCAAAGCCTAACACATACTAGATCTTAAGGAAATTCATCTGAAATAAGGTAACTGTCTCAAAAGTTCTCGGAGGGGAGCAGATAATAAAATGGAAAGGTGGACAACCAGGCACAGCGATCAGGGTGATTAAGGTCTTCCTGGTGATGAGGTTGCTGGCAGCCTTAACTGAATTGTGACAGTTCCTAGACGTGGATTTAATGTCCTGTGGAAAAAAATCACTTTGACATGCCCTTTTAACTCAGAGCCTGTTCTTAGCTTGGACTGTTTTGTTATGCTTCATTACATCTTACAGTTTAAAGTTTGTTTCTTAAACCTGATCCTCCTTCAAGCACTGTCAAGATGTCAAGGTCGGTATTTAGYGGTGAGCTTGTATCTGCCACGAGGTCGGTCTGAAGTGGATGTGCACTCTCTCACCCACGATGATTTAGGGAATACGTGTAGGGTTTATTGATTATGTGTAATGCTGAAGCTCGCAATGTTTGGAAGTTGCAGAAGCTCAAGGCCTCTTTTCAAGGTAGAAAAAGTGCATGTTTTCTGAAGGAAGAACACAAAACAACATGGGCTGCTGTGATTAAGTTGTTTCTGGAGACAGAGTTGTCTCCTTCAACACTACTAACCTTCATCGTCCTCCAAATGGTAAATCTCTTACCTCCGCTATGATCCTGTCAGCCAGGCACATGCAAGTTCTGCTTGCATCCAAAAGAGCCCTGCTGGATTCTATCCAATCTTAAAGCCTTTTTTATAAGACCAGGACAGCAAGATGCAGTCTTACTTGCATGGTCGAGGAGCTTGTAGCCAGACCTCAATGGTGGCGTATGGGGCAGCTCAGCAACCAGGACCATGCTGCGAGGCTTAGTTGTCCTCCATGGGYGCTTGCGCTCCTAAGGAGAAATCCCAACATATCTGCCTCTTTCAGTAAATTTAAACACGCAATCTCCTCTCCTGCACTGGAAATGAGAGCTCTCCTTATACATAGGAAAGACRGACACTGTTAAACTAAGATGTAAAAAGGAGTGTGTGGGGAGGTGGGCTAAGCAGAGAGATTCTTTCCTCTACAATGATGATTGCAGAAAAAGTATTTTAATACTTGTGTGAATAAAGATAGTGGAAAAAGAACAAAAAGGAGTATCCTCTAATAAAACACTAACAGCTCACAAAAACATGTGTTAGATGCTGCAAAAGGACAAGATTTAAAGACCAGTTCTAAATGAGTGTTCTTGGCCTGGTACGCGCTAGAACACACATGATTTGTTTGCTCTAAAGGAACACACTGGAATTGTTTCAGGAAATACTCATAGCTAAGCCATTAATAAACAAGGAGTACAATATAATTAGGTTAGATGTCTTTATGGCAACAGTCCTCCCCAAAAATAAACCCAACTGCTAGAAAAAGAGTCTCTAGGGCAGTGTCAGGGCTGTAGAAATTGGGCTTTAAAATGAGGAGGCAGCTCCAAAAGATCCTGATCCTAAGTGCTAAGTTTTAGTGGTTGTAACGTTTGAAATATTGTCTGGCATCCTGAAAAGCTTCTTTGCAGGCAGGGTCCTCATCTGTGGAAATACCTCCCCTTGGCTCCTCACCTGTGGTCTTGGGCTTCTTAGAGGGTGTTGGGTGGTGCCTGCGTGCTGCTGTGGTCAGACTCGCTGACCTCTGAAACCAGGAAGCTCCACTTCTAATGGCTTCACCTGAACTCGCTTGTATTGCCAGGCAGACAGACCAAAAATACAGAATAAAGGCGTAGAAGGAACATAAAGTAAGTTTCTAATTATGGATGTGGAAATCATTATCTTTTTTAAACCTGAAATATAAAAATCATTTCTGRGTTACAGTTAAGGAGATACCGTTGTCGCTACCTGCACAGCTCCCGTCATCGAGAGCTGGATATATTTCCCAGGAGCATCCCAGCATCCTGGGGCCAGTCACTGTGGCCTCACTTTRTGCGTCTGAAGTCATTTATGTCATGAAGTCATTTTTTCACATGACTTGAAAAGTCAAATCACATCTTTGGCTTTATGAAGGCTGTTACTGTACAGCAGGTTTTGACCTCTCTTCTTTGGTGTGGTACCAGCTGTGAGTGGAGAYCTTATATGAGGGACTGCCACTAACCAAGAAGGCCACAAGCTGCCTAGGCTGGACAGCCTTCCTCCTTCCTCTTCCTCCAAAGTGTTCAAAGCTCCTAATGGGAGTTAACAGGGACCTACCTGTTGTGATGAGAGCTGAGAGAGATGTGGCATGTTTGGTAATTCAGAAGCGATGGACTTATCTCTTTTTGTTTTGAATTTAGAAAAAGAATAAGAGAAAGCTCTTCTCTGTTTTTTGAAGGAGATGGAGGARATGGAGGTCTCCGACCTTGTGTGCATTATGGGGCTTCCTTCTTTGTATTGAAGCAAAACTGTATTCCTGTTTACCCCTAGATGAAGAAAGAAAGAAAGAAAGAAGAGGAAATAATGATTAGGAAAGAAAAATCCAGTTAAAATTGAGAAGGCCAGTGTACGACAAATGGGTGCAAGAGCAATTCGAGGGCTTACATGAGAAGGAAAAAAACATGGTTATTTGACTTGATCTTGCTGAATGCCATCTGATGGGGAATTGCCAGTGGCARCTGTGATTTCATTCAGAAATACTGTTCAGAACAATCCACTCATGTTTCTAATCCCAAGCTTGATATACACTCAACTTGCCTGTCACATGCTGTATCTTTTTGTAAAATTGGTGGTAAGAAGAAAGTACTTCAGATRTAGCTTATACTTTCACGCTTCTCAGTGACTGCTACAAGTAAAATGTGAAGGTATTAGAAAGTGGTATAGTTTGTGATAAAAGATTATTTGTTTGGAATTTGGGCGTTAAATATATATTTTAAGATMATTTTGTTTGTTTGCTTTTTAACTTACAGCCTTGCTGATGCATGGGAAGAGGATATTGGGGTTCATCCTTTAACTTTTCCATCACAAACATGCTTGGAATTACTGCTAGTACTGGGTTTGAGTACCAGCTCTCTGCCACCTTCACTTCGTTGCATGAATTCTTTCCAGGTAAGGAATTGCTGGTGTGTG